TAAAAGTAACTTGATAACAAGTTAATTAGTTTCGACTAAATAAAACTAAATAAATAAAATAGTAATATTTTATTTAAATAACTTTTATCTTTAACCAAAATTATTCGCTAATATCAAAATCAATTCGTTGATCTCTATTCATTCTGATCCACGCAAAAACAAAAATAATTGTTATCACCAATTAAAATACGCTCTCCCAAATTTAATCGGTGACATTAATAATGTTAATAGGGTATTTTTTATAGGCCAAATGCAACTTCCAACATTTTTTTAGTTAACACATCACAAAGAACATTGTGAGTTTAATAAAATTCAATTTCCATTCATATTCAGATTTCCTTTATATAAATTAAATAATGGTTGTCATTTTTTTTTTCAAAATGTTTTTTTGTCTTTGGTCTCTTTATATAAAAAACCCTCAAATAATGGAAATAAAAAGATTAACAAATATTTGTCAATAATTTGGTATTAATTATATTATTAACTATTTTTACAAAATATTTCATGATTACCTTATCATTCTATGCATATGATTGATTGTCTTGACAATATTTTTGTCATAGTAATTATTACTATCTAGATTCTAATGAATGAATTATCAATATCATTTTATTCAAATCAATAAATTAAATAGATTGCCAATATCAATTTTCTCAACTTATTTATTGACTAATACTAATTTGATTATCATCATTAATATGTGAAAAATTATGATTAATGTCATACATTGATCTAGAAAGTCATTTAATTTGTAAATAATTTTGTAACCAATCAATATTAATTAATTAATTAATTAATTAATTAATATAAATTCTATAAATGCTTTTACATGACATGTACAACTTATTGACCAGAATATTTTTCTTCTTTCTTTTTTTTTAAAGATGATAATCGTAATTTTCTAGAATTAAATTAAGAAATGTCTATTTTTTTCTAAAATCCCCAAAATTAATTATCAATAATTTGTAAAGGTTTTGAAAGCTACTCCAATCAATCTTTTAACACTTCTCCATTTTTTTTTCCTTACTGCTATATGAATTTTTGTTAACATAAATTCCCTATGTTCTTCTAATTCTGCTCTGCTATATTTACCTTTACTTGGACCAGCTACTTGTAGAACAGGAACTTGTTCTTGTAAAGACTTATTAAATAAATAAAGTTTAGGTGGATTGTCATTGAATCTTACAGAAAGTGTTGAGACCTTAATTTGTTCACCACCAAGAAGTAAAAAAATTTAATTAATTAATTAATTATATATATTAATAAATCAAACTATTTTACAAGTTACCTGATTTGAATTTGTTTTCAAAATGCCATTTTTAGTACAAAGCCATCTGTGCTTAGGAATTATTCTAGAACTCTTTATTATAAATTTACTAAAGAATATTGTCATAAATTTTGATAAATAATTTTGATCAATTCTTTCTATAAAACTTGGTAATATTATTGGTAAAATCCTATCAATTGCCAATAAAATCAATAAACGAGTTACTACAGAATTATCAATGGTTGAGGAAAGAAGGAGAGAAAGAGTTGGATGATTTTGTTGAAAAAAGTATAATATTTTCTTTAAGAAGCCTTGCAATATAAAAGGTAATGCTCGATCTACTATCTTTGGTAATAAATATATCGGTATTGGATAGGGTTGTTGTCGTTTTAAATAATAATTGCCATTACTGTTAATACTAACAATATTATTATTATTTATTGGTAATAATGTTGATGGTAATGATTGATGAACTTTTTGTGATGTGGGATGTTGTTTAAAAGATAAAGTAATGTCATTGTTTGCACCTGCTGCAATTGCCAACGTCGATATTGATGAAGTTGCAGTTGATTTTTTGATGTTGGCAGTGGCGGTGATTACATTTGTTGGAGACATTTCTGACGACTATGTTTATTAATAATTTCTCATGTTATTAATTTAATTCGGTTACACCTAATACTAATTTATTATATAGTTAGTCGCTGAACGTAATTCTATAATTCATTTTTGCTGATACGGTGCAGATCATCTATACAGTTGGCGCTCGATATAAGGAAGAGTTTGTTTTGGCAAAAAACTTC